GCCTTTTTCTTCTTTTCAAGATTACTTTGGCTCTTCTCTCTGCTTTTAATATTCTCTCTTTATCTTTAACTTTTGGCATTTTTTTATAATGTGTGTTGGTATAGATTTCTTTGGATTCATCTTATTTGGAACTCTTTGCTTCTTGGAGCTGAGTGTCTATTTCCCTCCATAGGTTATGGAATTCTTTAGCCATTATTTTCTCAAATAAGTTTTCTTCCTCTTTCTCTCTCTCTTTTCCTTTTGGGGCCCATATAATGAAAATGTTAGTCTGCTTGATATTGTCCCATAAATCCCTTAAGCTACCTTTACTTGTTTTCAATTTTTTTCTTTTTAATGCTTGGTGTTAGTTTTTCTGCCCTGTGAAATTGACTGATCCTTTACTCTGCTTTACCTAGTCTGCTGTTGAACACCTCTACTGTATTTTCCAGTTCAGTTATTGTTTTCTTCAGTTCCATAACTTCCGTTTGGTACTTTACTATGTTTTCTATCTCATTGTTGAAACTCTCACTGTGTTTGTTCATTCTTCTCAAGTTCAATGAGCATCTTTATGGCCTTTACTTTGAATTCTTTATCAGGTAGATTATCTCCAATTTTAAAATTTTTAAAAAGATTTTATTTATTTATTTATTTGACAGAGAGAGAGATCACAAGTAGGCAGACAGACAGGCAGAGGGGGAGGGAGAAATAGGCTCCCTGCTGAGCAGAGAGCCTGATACAGGGCTCGATCTCAGGACCCTGAGATCATGACCTGAGCCCAAGGCAGAGACTTAACCCACTGAGCCACCAGGTACCCCGATTATCTCCATTTTTAAGGGTTTTTAGTTTTAAGGTTTTTTCCCCTGAGGAAAGTGAGTCTTTCACTTGGAACATATTCCTCTGTCTTCATTTTGATTCGCCCTCCATGATTGTTTCTGTGTAACAGCTATCTCTCCCAGTCTTGAAAAAGTGGCCTTGTGTGGGAGATTAATTAAATTAATTAATCCTTTATCTTTTGATTATTCCTCAGACCTTTATAATTGTTTAACTACCCTGATTTTTTCTTGATAGGTTCCAGTTGTTGAGGGAAGGCCAACACTTGTCAGTGTCCCAAAGAGAGAGACCTCGGACAGTTTAGCTTCAGGTTAATTACAAGCCAGATCCGCAGGCAACAGTTTTTAAGGTAGGCAAATATAGACAGTCTTGTGAGTCTACAATATAAACCCTGCTGATATCCAGACAAGAAGCTCTGGAGGTGTCCTCTGGTCAACAGCTGCAAAAATTGTGGCTTTAGACTTCAAGCTCCCGTCTGAGTGGTATCAGCCAGCTGTGGGGAAGACAAGGGAGGCCACTAACATGGCATCTCCCTGTCCATATTCCCTGGGGGGGTTCCTCTGTAGCCCCTGGATGTGTGGCAAACCTGAAGCCTGCCCCTCAGTATGAAGCTTAGGGACAAGAAAATAAAACTTTTTCACATGAAGATTAGGGTTTTGTTTCAGTCTGCTGTTTGTGCAGTGCCCTGTGCCAAAGACTATCTCTCTAATTGGTTTGGACTCATGAGGCCCAGAAATGCATTTCTCCTGACCAAGACAGCCAGGTGCTCAAGGAGTGTCCTTTCTATGGGCTGCATGTGCTTGCTGGCCATGGCTTGGTGGGCCACGACTGTGGCTCATGTGGGTGGGACACTTGGTCAGCCCAACTGCAGTGGGGTAGGCTGCACCTGCAATGCATGGAAGGTGGTGGGGGACAGTTCCACTGGAGCTAGCAAGCTAGAGGCAGGTTGTGAAGAGTCACCCGCTAGTCCCAGCACCAACAAAGCAGGAGAACTCAAAAATGACACCCAGTGGTGCCTCCATCCTTAGCGAGCATCTAAACAGGTTTCTTTTTCTCCAGCAGATGCTTTAAGATTAAAACATGAGTCTTCCACATTCTGTTCAGGCGCCTTTCAAACTGTTGCTTTTGTGCTGGGTCCCAGGGCAAGCAAGTCTGTGTGCAAGCCCTTTTAAGAGTGAACTTTCCATTTCCATTTCCATTTCCATTGGTTCTCCTTGAAGTAAACCTTGGTTTTCAAGACCAGACACTCCGGGGTCTCATCTTTCTGGTGCAGTTCTCAAGGTTTGGGAGGCCTGAAATTAGGCAAAAACACTTCACTCCTCAGGGATGAGCTCTAGATTATAAGACCTCCCTCCCAACTGTGGGTCACTGCTCCCGAATGTGGGGGTTTCTTTACAGACTGTGTCTCCACCTCTCCTACATATATCAAGGTGGCTTTTTTATCCTTTGTCCTGGAGGCTCTGCTCAGCTAGCTTTAAGGTCCTTTCCAGAAGGAATTGTTCTTTGTGTAGCTGTAGAGTTATGTTCATGGGAGAAGGTGATCCTTCTACACCACATCTTGAACCCTCTATGGCCAATTGATCTTTGAGAAAGATGCAAAAGTAATTCAATGGAGGAAGGGCAGTCTTTTAAACAAATGATGCTGGAACAACTGGATATCCATATGTACTATACGAACCTTGATCAAAACCTCAAATCTTAGTAAAAAAATAACTCAAAATAGATCACAGACATAAATGTGAAACACAAACTGTAAAAGTTCTAATAAAAAATTTAGAAGGGAACCTTCACGACCTGAAGTGAGGTAAAAGGTTCTTAGATTTTTACATCAAAAGTACAATCTGTAAAGGGAAAAAATGATAAACTTGACTTCATCAAAATTAAAAGCTTTTGCTCTACGAAAGACCCTGTTAAGAGAACAATATAAAAAAATAAACATTGACTGGGAGAAAATGTTTGCAAATCACATATCCAGCAAAGAACTTGTACCCAGAATGTATAAAGACTTCTTAAAATTCACCAGTAAAAACAAAACAAAAAGACCCAATTGAAAAATGGACCAAAGTGAAATAAATATATCCTCACCAAAGAAGATATACAGAAGGCAGAGAAGCACATGGAAAGCTGTTAAGCATGATTAGATGTTTGGGAAATGCAAATTAAAATTATGATGAGATACCACACTACACATCTATTAGAATGGCTTGGCCATCTTCCGTACAAACTAAATTTAGAGCCTGCCTTATGTGAGCATCTTCCTTGATAATTTACACTAAGGCTTCTCACTTGAAAACAGATAAGATTTTGGAAGCCTCTCCTGGTGTCAAGGCCATTATATCTAAGAATGCATCATATATACATCCACACAAATGGTTGTTCTTCATCATTCTTGCCTCAGACACCTTTGCTTTCTGTGTGTCACAGAACTCCTTGTTCAATGAGCTCTAGCTCTTCCATGTTTGGCCTCTGTTTCTCTTATCTCTTTAAATCTCACTTCTGTCCCTGCGACACCAGTGATTCTCAGACAGGCTGTGTTTGGCGGGCTTGTCTTCAAAGGACATTTGTGGTCTCCTGAGGTGCCATACCTGCAGTTCAAATAGATTCCACAAGGGGGATAGTGTTTATGGAAGTATAGCTCTTGGTTAGACTCCCATTACTTGTGAATAATAGAAAGAGACCAGATATAAGGCACACAATCCATCTATGGTTTAGATAGCATCACATTTAAACAACACAAATGCTGCTTAAACACTTATCGTTTGAGTTTACCTATTATTGAGAAAACATTTGTTTTTCAGCCAGTCTATAGATATTTGCTAAACACCTACTACATGCAAGGCATGGTTCTAAATACTGGGGAGACAAACAAAATTTATTTGAAGCAAGACATAAAGGAAATGATACACTTAGGCTACCTTTAATTAATAATGATTCTTGCTGAGTTTTCTTCTGAAGCTTACCTGGCACATTACTCTCATCTTTTTGGAGGGTCAGAGGCAGCAGGACATTTCGCTATGGAAAGCTTCCTGTGAAATTCCTCCCACCGCTATTTCTTATTTAATTAGCGTAATTGTAACAACCATCTCAGCCAGCTCTTGCAGAGAGAATTCAGCCTATCACTAAGGTTTCTTTTACTCCATCACATGACTTTTTAAAGAAAAGCCCATTCCATCTTTTTTCCTGTTGTTTCCCTCTATGTCCAAAATGCAAGAGACAAACCCACTACTAAGTAACTCTTGAGTTTCTTTCCCTTCTCTGGAAATTTTATCTACCATGATGTGGTGACCCAGCCCAAGAAGTCATTCCCTTAGCTGGGTCTTTTTTCTTTCACAATATGTGTATTTAGCCCCTTTTTCTCATGAATGCAAATTTTCTTTTTTTTAAGATTTTATTTATTCATTTGACAGAGAGAGACAGTGAGAGAGGGAACACGAGCAGGAGGAGTGGGAGAGGGAGAAGCAGGCTTCCCACTGAGCAGAGAGCCCAATGCGGGGCTCGATCCCAGGATCCTGGGATCATGACCTGAGCCGAAGGCAGACGCCCAATGACTAAGCCACGCAGGCACCCCATGAATGCAGATTTTAAAATGGAATTTAATTCCCACTGCTGTGAGATGTATCAAGTTTACATTTCAAAGCCTACTATGGCCCTTTGCTAACAGAGATAATATTCCCCCTTCTGGATTTTTGAGACTTTTTGAATGTGACAAAACTGAACCTAGTAAAGCACTTTCTAAATACGTGTTTTCTTCTCAGCATCAAGCAGCCTGTAATACTGCAGGCAGCCCTCTCTGCTGGTATGTACTGACTTAGCAGTTCCACAAACAAAGGAGGGTCAAGCTTTTAGAAAAGAATTCCTGAAGTTCCAGAATGGCGATGTCAGTCACTGCTTCAAGGAGCTGTTCTTGCCAAGGCACTTGCCAAGTAGTGCTGTCATTTGACCCCAGCTGAGGGCCTGCTCTGAGAATGCCATTTCCTCAGTTAAGATCTCAGCCACCAAAGGGACTAAGGCCGAGGGACTCCGAGGTGGGCCTGGACTATAGCAGAGTTGGGAGGGGTTGTGAGGGAAAAGGGAGAGAAGGGTCTCACATCAGCCTTGATCTGCTCATTCAGTATAGAGCAGAGATGGGAGTTAGAATTATATTAAACTTGACGGAAACTGAAGGAAACTGAACCTTTGTGTCCCCTCAGGAGCGATTCCTATTTTGCTTATACCCTACTTTCTGGTGTTCACTAAATATTGGATCTTGTCTGTGCTTGCCTTAGCCTGGCTCGCCTATGATTGGAACACCCACAGTCAAGGTAAGAAACAGAGGAAGAGTGGTGGTCCCTGTGTGTGCTGAGGATGGAACCACAGGGAGAGAGAAATGGAGGGAGAGATTGGGAGAGGCAGAGAGAGAAGGGGTGGGAAGAGGACAGAAGGGGAAAGGGAAAGGAAAAGAAGTAGGAAGGTAGAGGGCAGGAAAGATGGAAAGAAACAATTAGAGGTAGAGGGAAGGAGAAGGAGAGAGGAGACCAAAGCTTAGCAAGGAAGAGAGATCTTTCCCAGTTTTCCCAAGAAGGATTAAGAGGTTTTAAGACAGGTGCTCCCAAACTTGGAATATCTTTCTATCACCTTCCTGGCTGGCTACAGGGGATCCGGGGCCTTCTAGATCTTCTTGGGGGTTGGATTCAGAGACAGTACCTATCTAGAAATATGGAAGTGTGTAAAGGGGACCTCTTCTCTGACCCAAGGGCTGTAAGAAGAACCCTCCACCTCTGGAAGAGGTTTGAGGGATTGGCAGTATCTCACCTGCTCTTTCCTTCCCTTCTGTACCCACAGGTGGTAGGCGTTCAGCTTGGGTACGAAATTGGACCCTCTGGAAGTATTTTCAAAATTATTTCCCAATAAAGGTAACTCCCCTTCCTTTTAGTGCCCTTGGTTCTTGTTGCCCAGACTCTCCCCCTCTCAGCTCCATGTTTTCAAAGGCTTTAGTGACCAACAGTGAAAGTGAAGCCCCAGAAGCATAATGCAGGTTAGACATCCAAGATGGATGAGCAGGTAGGGAGATGGATGGATTACAGCCTGTCTTCACAGTGGCAAACCCAGGTCAGCCTCTCTGAGCATCATAACCCCTGGCAATCCTATGACAATGAAAACATCTCAAAGAACAGGGATCTGGGGTTCCCCAAGGGAAACACAGGATACCTGCTTGTACACGTCCTCTCTTCCTTCTTCCTATCTGCCACCCTGACTTAATCTCCCTCCAACAGCTGGTGAAGACTCACAACCTCTCTCCCAAACACAACTATATCATTGTCAATCACCCCCATGGCATTGTCTCTTATGGTGTGTTCATCAACTTTGCTACTGAGGCCACTGGTTTTGCTCGGATTTTCCCAGCCATCACTCCTTCTGTAGGAACCTTGGAATGGATCTTCTGGATCCCAATTGTGCGAGACTATGTGATGTCAATGGGTGAGTGAATATAAGAAATCATTCCATTCTCTGACCCACCTCAGAGCTCCAACCCCAATAAGCCCTGACAGTCCACATCTCACATCCTGCTGGAAGAGGACTTAGTAGAAAATGAGTCCAGAACACACTGGGCCAGTAACAAGAGTATGCAGCCACGCAGCATGTTCTATCTAAGATATGGGTGGTAGGATTTAGTTAGTCAGTAAGATAATTTATAGGCAGTTATAAGAGTTGCCAGAAATCCTTTCAGAAAAAGAAGCAGAAGGCTGGAGTCCAGGATCAAAGCCAAAGTGGAAAGCAGAAGGTCAGTGGTGGCTAGTGGCTAGTCCTGATCACCCCTGAGAGAGAGAGACCTCTGGACAGTTTACAGAGCTGTAAGGCTGGGGAGAGTAGATACTATTGATCTAAGAGGCAGCAGGCAGAGGAACTCAATGTAGGTGCAATTGTAGTATCACAGACCCTTCCACAAGGCAAGCAGCTGACCCTAAGGACCAACCTCAGGATAGCGCAAACCCAGGAAGTGGAGGTCAAAGACAGAAGAGTGGAAACAACAGTAGTCAGGAAACAGAACTGTCTCCAGCATGAAGAGCCCAGAGGAACCCCTTTCCCCAATCTCAGGTACGAAGTTTGCTATGCCACTTGACTCTTTGGTTTCACAGGTGTGTGTCCAGTGAGTGGCTTGGCCTTAAAGTATTTGCTGACCCAGAAAGCCTCAGGCAACGCTGTGGTTATTGTGGTGGGTGGAGCTGCTGAAGCCCTCTTGTGCCGGCCAGGCGCCTCTACCATCTACCTTAAAGAACGGAAAGGTTTCGTGAAGTTGGCACTGAAGACAGGGTGGGTCCCCAGGTTCTTGTGCCCTAAACCTGTTAGAAAGGGCTCTCTTTTTACTCTGGTTGCTTCCTTCTGCTCTTTCACACTGTGTCTTAATTGTATTTGGGGCTCCAGATACATTTGTAGGCACTTCTTTTAATTGAAGTTGGAGAAAAGAGCAGGAAAAGACCTTTACCTTCTGCCCATTAGCCTAGTTAGCTAGGGGTCTGGGGAAACAGAGCTTTAATGTATATCAACGCACTAACTGAGAGGCCCAGAAAACATACTCAGCGCAGGGAAGGCACTGGGCTTGAGGCTGTGGGGATTGCAAAAGTAAATAAGACATGATTATTTTCCCCAAAGAGCATATAATCTGGTTTGAAAACTAGAATGCATTCATTCAGCAGTTATTGAACACCTCTGTGTGTTAAGCATAGTACTAGGCATTGAGGATATAAAAATAAATAATACCCGGTCCTTGCCTTTAAGAAACTGACAGTCCCATGGAAACAGAAGTGCACACATGTAATTACAAAATATGTCCAGAAGCCAACCACTTATCTTCTCAACTACAAGCCCCCACAGTTTAAACTAGCACCATATATCCCTTGGATTATTACAGTCTCCTAACTGCTCTACCTGCCTTCACATCCTAGAATCTATTCTCAACCGTAGCTAAAATGATCCCATTAAACGTGAGATTATGTCACTACTCCAAATGCTCCAAAGGCTCCCATTTCAATCTGGGCAAAAGCCAAAATCTTTATGGGGGCCTGCAAAGCCATAAATGATCTGGTCCTTAGCTACCCCTCATCACCCACTGCTCTCCTCCTCGTTCACTCTAGTAGAGCTACAGTGGACTTCTTGCTGGCCCTCAAACAAGCCACAGGCTCCTGCCTTAAGCTCTTTGCTCTAACTGTCCCCACTTCCTGGAACACTATTCCTCCAATTAACTGCTTGCCTCATTCCTTTACTTCCTCCAGGTATTTGCTCAAATGTTTTTTCTCAATAAGGTCTATCCTGATCATCTGGCTCTATTTTTTCCTGTTGCATTTATCACCTTCTTATGTATCACTGATTTTACTTATTCATATATCTGTTTTTTTGTTTATTTGTTATTATTGTTTATTGTCTGTCCTCCCTCAAGAAAAACTGTAAGAGATTTTTTTTTATCTATTTTGTTCACTGACATGTCCTTAGGGCTTAAACCAGGGCCAGTGCATAGAAAGAGCTCGATAAATATTTGTCGAATGAATGATGTGCTGTAATAGAGTTATGTACAAAGTCCTATGGGAACAACAACTGATGGAAACATTTTTACTCTCAAGGTAGAAGTTTCATAAGTGAGTGACATCTGAATTGTGAGCTAAAATATTAGTAGGAGTTGCCAGTCAGGCTAAAAGGGAGAAAGAATTCAGGGGACCTACAACATAGCAAGCATTAGGCGAGGACCTAGAGATCCAAAGATGAATGACAAATTTCCCATCTTTGATCAGCTTGACAGACAACTAGGGAGTCAGACAGGTAAGGAGGTAACCGTAATAACTGAGTTAGACTATTGTTAGTGTGGAGAAAGATAAGCTGAAGGGTACCTAATTCATATTGTGGGGGAGGGAATTGGAGGCAGTCAAAAAAAGGTTTCTTCAAGAGATTGAAATTGGAGCTGAGCATTGAAGGGCAAAATAGAATTAGCCATGTGAAGACAGAAGGAAGGCATTTCCGGCAGAGGGAGCAGAATGTACAAAGAAGCATAGACAAGAAACAGCTTGGCACACTTAGTATGGTTAAGCAGATTGCAAGAAAGGGGCGGGGAGAGGGGAAGCTAGCACAAAAGCTAGAGCACAAAAGCCATGGTAAGCAGCACAATACAGAGTGAGGATCTGGAAGAGTTTTAAAAAGAATGACATGTCCAGATACACAGTTTAGGAAGATCATTCTGGATGCTAGGAGCAATGAAAACAGTTAGATTGCCCAAGATTATTTTTTTCCTATCAGAGGACAAGGTGCAGCAGCTCCCCGTGAAGAGTTCAGTTGGAAGGGTGGGGCATGGCAAGAGTGAGACACAAAGCTGAAGATGTTTGGGTGCTTGGGTTCTTGTTCTATAATGGGGAGATTAGAAGGTTTCATACCTTGGAGAGGGTTTTGCTGGGGGGAGCTCCCTCGGAGAGTTCATACTCTGCTCCTTTCTTTGCAGAGCGTACCTTGTCCCTTCCTATTCCTTTGGAGAGAATGAGGTTCACAATCAAGAGATCTTCCCTGAAGGCACATGGATAAGGTTCTTCCAAAAAACCTTCCAGGCCACATTCAAAAAAATCCTGGGACTAAATTTTTGTACCTTCCATGGCCGGGGCCTCACTCAAGAATCCTGGGGCTTCCTTCCTTTCAATCGGCCCATTACTACTGTTGGTAAGCTTTCCAATACCTCCGACCACCTTTGTTGTTGATTCCCCCCACCCAGGTCATCCATCAAGTCACCGAGGCCCAGCAAACAGCTGGGATGGGCAGTGGGAATTCCAAAGGGTATGACTGAGGGCAGGGTGGGCAGGACAACTGAACAGATAATAGTTGTGGCCTTTTAATAGCTGCCACGAGAGCATCTTTATTCACAAACATTCCTTCCCATCACTCTTCTGAGCTTGTTCTCATTCTCTTCAGCATGGATGAGATTAGGTATTTGCAGTATATGGGATGAGATGGAGCTAGAGCACAGGGAAAGAACAAAGGAAGAGGAGGGGACAAAGATACTGAGTTTCAGTATGTGGCTCCTTCTGAGGGATGGGTAACTTGAGTTGGGGAGGGGAGGCTCTGATGCTTGTTTCTTCTCCTTCCCCGTAGTCGGGGAACCCCTGCCAATCCCCAAGATTAAGAGGCCAGACGAGACGACTGTGGACAAGTACCATGCACTCTACATCAGTGCCCTGCGCAAGCTGTTTGACCAGCACAAAGTTCAGTATGGCCTTCCTGAGACCCAGGAGCTGATAATCATATAACAGGAACTAGATCTCCCCCATTACTAAACTCCTAGAACATTGAGGGATTCAGATAGGGCTACCCAGGAAGAAGAATTTGGGCAGAGAGGAGGATCTCAGGCGTGAGAAAGGCCAAACAAGCCAGCAAGTACTTAATGGACCTCGCTTGGTGGAAAGAACCAGAGGGGCAGAGGAAGAGTAGGGAACAACCAACTTTAGAAAGCAGACTCTTGTGAATCCGCAGATCTTTTCTGCCCCATGACTCCAACCAGCTCTCTGATCAAAGGAATTAGAAGACAAAGAACACCACTGCTTCTTTCTCCCAAGCCTTAGTGACACCATACTATGTAGCTTTAGGCTTAGAAGACTTGTTTAGAACAGGAATGGTTTGTTTCCTCTTCCTCCTTACAGTTTGGGAAATACAACAACGTAAACCAGAGACCTGACCTGGAGTTCCTGATCCAAGCAGAAAGGATTCCCTTTAGTTGTGACAAAACTTTTGCATGTAGTTATGCTGTCTATAAAAATAAAGGTCTACTCCTGAAACTAACATTACACTATATGTTAACTTACTAGAAATTAAATTTAAAAATTTGAAAAAAAAGAATAAAGTTCTAGATACATAAAACAGGCTATGACTAGTTTCTAATTACTGTGGTTCACTACTGGTCTTCCCTCAAACCTGGTCAAGAAGGTGGTCTGTGGAGAGCCATTTTCCTCTTCTTTACCCATCCTTTATACTTCCTCTGACAGAAAAGGTAAGAAGAGGAACCAGAACTGCTACACAGTGTAGGAGACAGGAGCAAAACAGTGAGAATTGGCATAGATACCCACTGAGTCGTCCATCTCTCCTAACCCCACATAACCATCCTGCGTCAGAAGGAAGGGAGCCACAAGACCATGCATGGACTGAGTCTACTTTATATCGAGTATCTACTGTGTAATAGGGATTATGCCGTCATTTTTACAATCTTTGTCTCTTAATGCCAATGCCAACCCCGTGAAATTGCTGTAATCCTCATTTCACAGAAGCTAAAACTCAAAAAAGTTAAGTAACTCGCCCACAGTCACATATCTTTGGATAGAAGTAGCATTCAAACCCAGGTCTTGCTAATTCTAATCCAAAGTTCTTTCTAATACATCAACCACCACACCTCCCATTCCTCATTTCCTGGAGACCCATTAATCAGCTTCATTTTCCTAAATAAGGACCCATGGTACCCCACTTAAATTAGTTCATAACTGTGGACAAAGTGACATGGATTCTACTCAGGGTTAGATCAAGGTTAGACTTCAGGGAAAATAATTTATTCACTAAAAAAACTTTTTATATCAATAAACTGGAATTGGGAATCCACAAACAAACCCATACATGTATGGCCAATTGTTTTTGCCAAGGATACCAAGGCAATTCAATAAGGGGAAAGAATAGTCTTTTCAATATATGATGCAGGGACTACTGGATATTCATATGGAAAAGAATGAAGGTGGAACACTACCTCATACCATACACAAAATTTAACTCAAAATGGATCAAAGACCTAAAGTGAGAGCTACAACTAGAAAACTATTCGAAGAAAACTTATGAGTAAAGTTTGCTGGTCTTGGATTTGGCAATGGGTTCTTAGATAAGACACAAATGCCCAAACAACAAATGATGAAATAAGTAAGTTGGACTTCATTAAAATTAAACACTTTTTTGGTAAAAATTTTATTTATTTACTTGACAGATCACAAGTAGGCAGAGAGGCAGGCAGAGAGAGAGAGGAGGAAGCAGGCTCCCTGCTGAGTGGAGAGCCAGTCGCGGGGCTTGATCCCAGGATCACGGGATCAGGACCTGAGCCCACGGCAGAGACTTTAACCCACTGAGCCACCCAGGCGCCCCTAAAATTAAACACTTTTATGCTTCAAAGAAAACGATCAAGAAAGTGAAAATCAAAGCACAGAAGAGGAGAAATTTGCAAATCATGTGCCTGATAAGAGTCTAGCATACAGAATATAAAAAGAACTCTTACAACTGGAAGACAAAAAGGCAGCACAGGTAAAAGTGAGCAAAGGCGGGCACTTGGGTGGCTCAGTCACCCAGTGGTAGTTAAGTGTGTGACTCTAGGTTTCTGCTCAGATTGTGATATCGTGGGTTGGGAGATCAATCTCCAGATGGGGTGGGCTCCGTGATCGCGCTCAGTGGGAAGTCCGCTTGGAGATTTTTTCCCTCTGTCCCTGCCCCCTTCCGCCGTCCCTCCCCCCCGCCAACTCGCGGGCAGATGCATACTCTCTCTCGCTCACACTCTTTCTCTAAAAATAGATAAATCTGGGCGCCTGGGTGGCTCCGTTGGTTGAGCGACTGCCTTTGGCTCAGGTCATGATCCCGGACTTCCGGGTTCGAGTCCCGCATCGGGCTCCCAGCTCCTTGGGGAGTGTGCTTCTCCCTCTAACCTCCTCCTCTCTCATGCTGTCTCTCACTCATTCTCTCTCAAATAAATAAATAAAATCTTTAAAAAATAATAAATAATAAATAAAAATAGATAAATCTTTTTAAAAATGAGCAAAGAATTTGAATAGGCATCCCTCCAAATAAGATTTACAATCGAGAAGGTGCTCAAAATTATTAATCATTAGGGAAATGCAAATCAAAACCACAATGAGAAACCATTTCACACTCACTAGGATAATGAAAAAAGACAGACAGTAACAAGTATTATTGAGGGATATGGAGAAATTAGAACCCTTAGGCACTGCTGTTAGGAATGTAAAATGGTACAGCCCCTTTGGAATACAAGTTGGCAGTTCCCTCAAAAAGTTAAACAAGGCGTTATCATATGACCCAGCAGTCCCACTCCTATGTACAAACACCCAAAATTGGAAGTACATCATCACACAAAAATTTGTACATGGATGATCATATGCAATTATTTATAATTGCAGAAAAATGAAAACAACCCAAAAGTCCATCAATTGATGGATAAACAAAATGTGGTATACCTGTACAATGGAATAATATTCAGTCATAGGAGGAATGAAATACTGATTCATGCAACATGGAAGAACTTGCAAACATTATGCTAATTGAAAGAAACCAGAAACTCAGGTTGTGTATTACATAATTCCACTTCTATGAAATGTCCACAATATGCAAATATAGAGATAAAGAGACAGAGAGAGAAATAAAGTAGATTGGTGGTTATCAGGAACGGGGGAGTGACTGCTAATGGGTATGGAGTTTCTTTCGGGGATGATGAAAATTTTGTGGAATTGGATAGTGATGATGGTTATGCTACCTTGTGAGTAACTAAAACCCACCACACTGTATACTTTAAACCGGCTGATTTTGTTTTTTTTAGTTTTTAAGATTTTATTTATTTATATTGACAGAGAAAGAGAGAGAGAGCACAAGCAGGGGGAGTGGCAGGCAGAGGGAGAGGGAGAAGCAGACTCCCCAGTGAGCAGGGAACCTGATACAGGGCTCAATCTCAGAACCCTGAGATCATGACCTGAGCCGAAGGCAGACGCTTAACCGACTGAGCCACCCAGGTGCCCCATAACTGGCAAATTTTATAGTATATGACTATATCTGGAAAAAGTAACATTTAAGAAAAATCAGCCTTTTAATTTAAGGAAAAATGTGTGGCTTGTAAGTTTAAAAATACATGATAAATTTTTAAAATACTTTTTATTTTGCAATGATTCACAGGATGCTGGACCCATTGGACCCTTTACTCAGCTTCCCATGATAGTGACATCTTGTAAAATTGAGTACAGTATCAAAACAGAAACCTGACACTGGCGCAATACTGTTAGACTATAGGCCTTACTCAGTTTTCACCATTTAATGCACACTCATTGTGTGTAGATGTGTGTGTATACATGCAATTTGATCTCATATACAGATTTGTATGGCCCCCATTACCCTTATGACATAGAACTGTTCCATCACCGTAGAGTAATTTCCTAGAACTCCACCTGTATAATCACACACACACGTACCTTCTTCCCTGCACCCTGACAATCACTGATCTATTTTCCATCTCTATAGTTTTATCATTTCAAGGATCTTATATAAATGGAATCATATAGTATGCAATCTTTTGAGATTGTTTTTTTTTTCATTAAGCCTAATGCCCTTAAGATCCACCCAAGTTGTTATGTATCAATATTTCATTCCTTTCTGAAGCAAAGTAGGATTCTGTGGTCTGGATGCATCAGAGTTAGTTAAACCATTTACCCATTGAAGGACATCTGTATTATTTCCAGCTTTAGGTTATTACAAATAAAGCTACTGTTAACATCCATGTATAAGTTTTTGTACAAATGGAAGTTTTGATTCGTCTGGGATCAATGCCTAGGAGTGCAACCGCTGAGATATATGGTAATCGCACATTTCATTTTGTGGGAAACTGTCGCACTCTTTTCCAGAGTGGCTGTACCCCTTTACTTTCCCATCAGCAATATATAAGGGATTAAGTGTCTCTGCATCTTAGCTAGTTATTTAGTATTGTCACTGTTTCTTCTTTTTTACTTTTAGCCATTCCGATACATGCATACTGCTAGCTCATTGTAATTTTGATCTGCATTTTTGTTTTAGATCAATCTCTCACCTGGACCCAGACTGCCTGGGGCAAATCCACAAAGAAGGTTCCCCATTGGAGTCAGTGTTGTGGCTGGCCCTGTTTTTGTGGTTTTTATTATGAATGCAAGACACACCTCAGCAATAACCATCAGGGAACTTGGAAAAACCAAGGTGTATTACTCAGGTTCTGGAGAGTACACAGCACGCCAGGTGCCACACAGTGACATCATAGGTAGAACTAGAGAAAAAGCGTGTGCAGAGCCGGGGTTCTGCCTTTACTGGGGTAAAGGGTGGGCTGCCTATGGCTTCGTAGATTCATTCTGAATGGGGGAATTTAAGACAGAAGAGTGGGAATGAAAGCTTGGGAAGGGAAAAGCCAGGTCACGCAGTCATTTATCTGGGTCACCAGGGCTTTCTAAAAGGGAACCTTATGGTTGGGGTCATCAGGCTTTGTGTGGCTGGTAATGTGTTCATTTGAGATTAATGTCTTCGATATGGATGCTTTGGCAATCAAAACTTAATGCCAGGGGCGCCTGGGTGGCTCAGTGGGTTAAAGTCTCTGCCTTCGGCTCAGGTCGTGGTCCCAGGGTCCTGGGATCGAGCCCCACATCGGGCTCTCTGCTCAGCAGGGAGCCTGCTTCCTCCTCTCTCTGTCTCTGCCTGCCTCTCTGCATACTTGTCTGTCAAATAAGTAAAAAAAATCTTAAAAAAAAAAAAAACTTAATGCCAGGCATTTGTGTTGCAATCCAAGAGCTAATTGTCAGGCACTTACTACAACTGTCCTAATGGCTAATGATGTTAAACATATTTTCATGTGCTTATTTGCTGTCCATATAGTCTCTTATTTTTTT